TTGTTCTACCTTTGCTTTTCTTTATTTCAGATTTTAGCTTAATTATCGTATGCAACAATTTTTGAAGTTACTTGGAACTTCTTTTTGTTTCAGATTTTAGCTTAATTATGTTTCGCTACAAGTTTCGAAGTTTCATAGAACTTTTTTTTGCTATCTAAGTAAGCTTCGCCGAAGCCATGTACATGATTGATGATTTGTCGGCGCTTTTCAAAATTTTAGAAATATTTACAAGATCATGTGATTGTTGTAATGTACCGCCACATAGATTTTTTGGGCATTTGTATTACTTGTGTCATTTTAACATTTTTGTGTAGGCTGATGCGGGAATTGAATTTAACTATTCTGTTCATCCAGGGGTTATTCAAATAGTTAGCTCAGGCCTATTATTTGTTCCTAAGAAATTCTTAAGTTCCGGTTTCAAACTCAAGTTCTCTAAGTGGGTCTGGGGATTTTCTTGGCATTTGAAAAAGGACAATTGACGATTTGCCTCTTGTATAGTGTAGTAGGAGATAGTGGAGTTATAACTATTTCATTTGTTGTTAGTATCTGATTTTCTAGAACGCCATATTAGACCTGTTTTTGTGTGAAGGCAGCATGGTTTGAACGACTTATGTAACTTGTAATAATTGTGTGAGCTAGCTATTGCAATATTGTCCTAAGTTTTGTAGTCATGTTTAGTCGCTTTATATGGGATAATTTTATATTTGATAATAATTTGGACTTTCCTAGTCTTCCTATTTCAACTAGTTGATTTGAATGCAATATGATGGTTCTTTTGTTGATAATCATTAAGCAGCTAAGAAGCAATTATCTCTATATATTTTTTCCTCTACAATACCTTTTGTTTTACTTATCTTCCTCTTAACTACCCTGTTGGTATGCAGTATGTGATGGTTGTGTTGAAGGGATCAGTACCTATAGCATTTGGAGGAACTGAGCAGCCAGCTGCCTATGGTGAATTGGTGTCCATTGGCGGTCTTTCCCCTGATGTGAACAAGAAACTAAGTGCTGCAATTGCCGATATCCTTGAGAAGAAGTTGTCAGTGCCCAAGAGTCGATATTTCCTCAAATTCTATGATACTAAGGCAAGCCATTTCAACTTTCTTGATTGTACAGACGATGACTGCCCACGCACTTGTCTCATCTCATTGCATTCTTCCTGTTTGTTTAGGCCCATCAAAGCCAAGAATATGCACAGTGTTTGCATGCTTTACACCAGCACTAGATCATGTAAATAAATCCTAAACTGTTTAAAACCGTGAGAATAGTTTTTATCATCTTTCTTGAGAATACAACTTATGACTCTCTATTGGTTATTCTCTTATCACTGCCTTGTGATTTGCTGTCTGTTTAAGTGTTTTTGATCCTTGGTTTATTTTGCAGGGCTCCAACTTTGGATGGAATGGGTCCACCTTCTAAATTTAGCTCTCAGAAGATTGGTCCTGTGCATTCTGACAGCTATCTATCTATCTAGTGAATCGGTATCTTTAGAACTATGTTAATAATGCGCTGAATACTGTCATTCTTCCTATAATGTGCTCGCTTATGGACACTGTTTTTTGGGCTCAATGCTAGTGAATGATATTCCCTGTTTGTTTAACTTTTTAAAACTCTATTCTATTATCTTATTTAAAGTAAATAGTGAAAAACATGTTTGTTTTAATATTGACGGAATTCAATTCAAAATTCAATCATATTTTATTCAATTCAAAACATTTAACAATTACTTTTTACAATAAAAGTTTATAAATTAACAAAAACAACTTCATCCACTGAAGCCATTGTTGGTCACCAGCAACCACCATTGATTGTCAGTTGTCGTCACTAGCAACCACCATTAGTCACTAGTCGTTGGAACGATGCACGATCGGCTAAATTTGATCGATTGTGTGTCTCTGTCTAGATCTATGATCAGAGATCTGGTTGTTGACGGCGATCATATCTTAGTAGTAGATCTAGTCGGAAAAGGCTAGATCGGTGTACAACCGGTTGGATTTTGTTAGTCATGTGCCATTCAAGCGACTGTCGGTCGTAATTCGACGGTGGTGGCTGGTAATCGGTTGAGTCGGTGAAGTTGTTTTTGTTAATTTATAAATTTTTATTTTGTGTTTGGTGGCGGGGTTTAGCTACAAATGTAAGGAGTTAAAAAATAATCTAAATGTTTTCCAAAAATGTATCAAACTTATTCTCAGAATTCTATCTTATTTATATAATCTTATCCTATTTAGAATAATTTTTCATAATATCATATTTCAAATAATGTACCAAACGAGCCATTATTTTGTATCGGTATTCTTAGTGCATGATTGAAGTCATTATATTATCCACTATTTTATCGTTGCCATTATTTTGTATCGGTATTCTTGGTGCATGATTGAAGTCATTATCTGCATATTTGGTTTAATATTTTTATCTCTATTCTGGATCCTATTCTCCAAATAATGTTTGGTACAATATTCTAAAAATATTATCCTATTTTTTTAATTACATTTTAACCCCATAAGGTTATTAATTTCACTAAATACCCCCTGAAAAAAAGTTTAAAAATTAACAAAAACACCCCCATCAACCCCACTTTCAATTTCGGCAACCACCGCGGTGATAGCCGAATCTTACAACGCCTAACTTCCGACCAGAAATGGCCGGAAGTTCATCGCTGTGGCCTTTTCCGGCCAGATCCCCACGGATCTGGCCGGAAAAGGCCGATCTAGCCGTCAGCGCGGCCAAAAATGGCCGTTGTTGACGGTCACAACGCGTCAAATCTTGGCCGTCGTTGACCGAAAACGACGGCCACATCTTTGGCCGTCGCTGACGGCCAAAATGGCCCTCGTTTGGCCTTTTCCGGCCGTCGACGGCCATAACAGCATAGATTCTGGCCTTTACCGTCGTTGACCGTCAACGACGGCCACATCTTTGGCCGTCGCTGACGGCCAAATGGCCCTCGTTTGGCCTTTTCCGGCCATCGACGGCCATAACAGATCGTAGATCTGCCTTTTCCGGCCAGATCCACCATGGATCTGGCTGGAAAAGGCCATAACGACGTGTTATGGCACAGATCCGACTAGTCTGTGCCGTAACAAAATTTTCCGGCCAGATTCCGGCGGTGGGTGCCGAATCTGACATTGCAGGTGGTGGGTGTTTTTTGTCATTTTATATGTTAGGGTCTTTAGTTAATTAGTAAACCTAAGGGCTTTTTTTACAAATTTTTAAAATTTACCTCGTAATACTCCATATCCAATAACCCAATACTATCCTTAAAATTCTATCCAAATACTAAACAAACGCACCCATATTATCCACTATTTTATCGTTGGGGCTAGTAACTAGCCTCAAAAAATTTCATCGTTCTTTCAGTCATTCTGCCACCTTGCGATTTGCCAAGAAGCACCATTCTACGAAGGTAGCATAGGCAATCCACTTAATAGTTGAAAATGAATATTCGCCTAACCCCCCAGGAGTTGGGTGTGTGTAAATCGGCTACCATAATTTCCACGAGCATAATCTCATACCTTATGGCACTGTCGACGGAATCGTAGTCTTTCATGTGAACCATTAGAGAAGTTAATATGCTATATTATTTGCTTTAAAACATTTTTTAATCTTACATCTTAGTTTAGAAGAAAAGGGACATACCATGCGTCTCCACAAATAAAATTCTGGTCAAACAGTGTTGGCGGAGTCTCAAATTTATATGGCTTAACTTCACCGAAAGTAGCGTACCGAATAACGTGGCATAATCTTGACCGTCGATTAATATTAAATTATAATTAATCAATGATCAGGATTATGTCATGTCATTCGGTGCACAAATTCGGTGCATTACTTTCGATGTATAAATTCGGTGCATTACTTTCGATGACTATAGATGCGTTTGGTTTATTATTTTAGATAGGATTTTGGGGATAGTATTGGATAATTGGATATAAGAGTATTACGAGGTAATATTTAAAAATTTATAACCCCCTAAGTTTGCTAATTTAATAAATACCCTAATATATAAAAATATGTAAAATGACAAAAAGACCCCCACCACCTGCAGTGCCAGATTCCGACCACCACCGTAGAAATCTGGCCGAAAAATTGCATAATCACACATACTGACCAGATTTGGCCGGTATGGCATCGCTATGGTCTTTTTCGGCCAGATCTAGGGCCATATGTGGCCGTCGACGATCGAAAAAGGCCAAAGAAGGTGACAGCCAAAGATATGACCGTCATTGTCGGTCAACGATGGCTAAGATTTGGCCGTCGTTGACATTTCTTTGGTTGTCACTGACGACCAGATCTAGCCTTTTCCGGCCAGATCAACTATGGATCTGGCTAGAAAAGGCCAGATCGGTGAATTACCTGCCAGTTCCGGTCGGTAATTCACCGTTGTGGCATATTTCGGTTACCACTGACGGTGGTTGCCGGAATCTGGCAAGTATGGATCATAGGGGTATTTTTGTTAATTTTTAAACTTTTTTTCAAGGGGTATTTAATGAAATTAATAACTTTATAGGGTCTAAAAGTAATTAAAAAATAGGATAATATTTATGGAATAATGTACTAAATATTATTTGAAGAATAGGATTAGAAATATGGACAGAAATAATAAGCCAACCGCACCCTATTATTTTCCTAACTTAAAACTCCGTCATATCAACCTTGTTTTGTCTGGCTATTTGACGGACTCCATGATATTTTAGTTTTGCATAGATCGAAGCCCAATGGTTCAAAGTCCACATGCTTCCTTCATTGGTCCAAATCCATTTCATTATTAAAAAATAAAAATAAAAATAAAAAACGCGGTTTATAGACTATAGTTATAACATTAGATCTACCCGGCAAGATGATGCCACGTTGCCATCTTGTGTGGTTAAAGAATGACATGTCAACTTCTAATTGGTCAGACTACAAACGTTGCTAGGAAATTTCTCTCTTCAGTCTTCACCCTTCATTGCGTCTGTCGGTGACGCGTGCGTAACCACGAAGCGAAACAATAAAGAAAAGAAAATGAAATTACCGTGAAACGTACTTCTCTTAATAGTCTCTTTTGCTTCTCCCGTCAATTTCTCTTGTTCTTCCCCCTTTCTTCTCTCCACGCTATATTCCCTCCTCCAAATCCCAAATCTCTGTATTCTTAACCAACCCTAATTCTAACAAATCCCTCAAAATCTTTCATTTCATTACATTTCAATTCAGTTCTCCTCATCCTCCCAATATGGCTTCTGCAGCAGCCCCTATTCTACCCGTCTCCACCGCCCAATCCGCCTCCGCCACCTCCGCCCAGTCCCAACCCCCGATCGCCACCCCCGCTTTCCGCGCCCTAATCACCCACCTCTCCGAGTCCCTACGCAATGGCTTCTCCCAGCGCCGCCCTTGGGGCGAACTCGTTGATCGCTCTGCCTTCTCCAAACCCGAGTCCTTATCCGATGCCACCGTCCGTATCCGCAAAAACTACTCCTACTTTCGAGTGAATTACCTTTCCGTCCTCGCCATTGTTTTGGCCTTCTCTCTTGTAACCAATCCTTTCTCTCTGTTCATGCTCCTTGGTCTTCTCGCTTCGTGGCTTTTCCTCTATCTGTTTCGTCCGTCCGATCAGCCGCTTGTCATCTTTGGCCGTACTTTTAGCGACCGTGAGACTCTTGGGATCTTGGTTGTGCTGAGCGTGTTCGTGATCTTCCTTACCAGCGTTGGATCTGTTTTGATCTCGGCTTTAATGGTTGGAGCGGCTTTGATCTGTGCTCATGGTGCGTTTAGGGTTCCTGAAGATCTATTCTTGGACGAACAAGAGCCTGCAGCGACTGGATTCTTATCCTTCCTTGGTGGAGCTGCCTCCAACGCCGCCGCTGCTGCCGCCCCTACCGTTGCCGCACGCGTTTAAGTGGATGGTTGGGATTGATTCAATTGAAACTTAGGATTTTGGTAGTGGAATAAATGTCAATTTGGTAATTTTTGATTTTTTTATTTTAACTATTGTCGTGAATAGAATATGGATCTTATATTTTTTTTCTTTTTGCTCAGTGCATATTTTACATGATACAATTTGTACTTTCAAGTTTCATCTTTTTAATACAGATCATGGAATGGATATTCGAGTTTTCTATTTGTTAAATCTGTTTGATTTGTTCAAGTAGGTAGAAATTTTATTGTTCCGTCAGAAATTGAAACAAATAATGGATGCAAAAGGTTGAAAATTTTGGTTGATAATATTTGATTCTGAATGAGTTAATCTCTGCTAGTTTAAGTTTTGTGGGTTTTTGGGAAATTTAGTTAGCATCTTGATTGATATTTTATCTAACGTATTAGTCTGACCCTCTCAATAAAAGTACAGAATCGGTACGTCTGAGTCAACAGTCACAACCTTTTCTCCGACCCCCGTTCATCAGATTGTGGGAGAGGTCCCTCTTTTTATCAGTGAGTTTTGAGTTAAACTGGGAAGACTCAGTTTGAGAAACAGTATTTGTGTTAGGGTTTTTGTTAAGCCCCTCATTCATATCGTTAACCAGATCTTCGTGGCTCAAGTTTTTATGATTTCTGAAAAGCTCAATCTGTATGCAGCATTGAAAGGCAGAAGGGCAGCAGCCTAGTAAGGTCGACACTACATGTGACTTTTCTTATGATTTGTTTCACAGAATTTGTCAAAAAGTTTNCTTATCCTTCCTTGGTGGAGCTGCCTCCAACGCCGCCGCTGCTGCCGCCCCTACCGTTGCCGCACGCGTTTAAGTGGATGGTTGGATTGATTCAATTGAAACTTAGGATTTTGGTAGTGGAATAAATGTCAATTTGGTAATTTTTTATTTTTTTATTTTAACTATTGTCGTGAATAGAATATGGATCTTATATTTTTTTTCTTTTTGCTCAGTGCATATTTTACATGATACAATTTGTACTTTCAAGTTTCATCTTTTTAATACAGATCATGGAATGGATATTCGAGTTTTCTATTTGTTAAATCTGTTTGATTTGTTCAAGTAGGTAGAAATTTTATTGTTCCGTCAGAAATTGAAACAAATAATGGATGCAAAAGGTTGAAAATTTTGGTTGATAATATTTGATTCTGAATGAGTTAATCTCTGCTAGTTTAAGTTTTGTGGGTTTTTGGGAAATTTAGTTAGCATCTTGATTGATATTTTATCTAACGTATTAGTCTGACCCTCTCAATAAAAGTACAGAATCGGTACGTCTGAGTCAACAGTCACAACCTTTTCTCCGACCCCCGTTCATCAGATTGTGGGAGAGGTCCCTCTTTTTATCAGTGAGTTTTGAGTTAAACTGGGAAGACTCAGTTTGAGAAACAGTATTTGTGTTAGGGTTTTTGTTAAGCCCCTCATTCATATCGTTAACCAGATCTTCGTGGCTCAAGTTTTTATGATTTCTGAAAAGCTCAATCTGTATGCAGCATTGAAAGGCAGAAGGGCAGCAGCCTAGTAAGGTCGACACTACATGTGACTTTTCTTATGATTTGTTTCACAGAATTTGTCAAAAAGTTTAAAAAGGCTTGACCAGAAAAATATTTACTGACATTGCCTCAAATAAAAAAAAAAAAATAAAAAAAAAAAAAAAAAAAAATTAAATACAAAAAATAATAATTATAAATAAAAATAAAAAATAAATAACATTAAAAACAATAAAAAAAAAAATAAATAAAATAAAAAAAAGAAAAAAAATATTTTAGAACATCCTGAGGTTCAGTATGCTTCAATAAATTATTTTCTTCATCTTTGTGACTCCTTGGTGCACAGAAAGCCACTCTCCCTCCAGGTTGCAATAAGCAGAAACCACCTTAAGGGCCAGTTTGGGATTCTTGATTTTCTCCTGGATATACTTTAGATTTTCTTGCATAGTTTAACACATGCATGTGTGTCTTTTTTTTTTTTTTTTTTTTTTTTTTTGGATATCTGGGTCAGATTATGCGTATTTCATATATCTTTCAGGATCCTAAAATTATCGGTCGGATAATAACTCTAATGACTACCTCTAGTAGCATTTTAAGAGTGACTCAAACTCAAAACCTATTGAGTAATACATCTAACAGTCTTAACATATGCATAATAAGTAGAAAAAAAATATTTCAACCATATATATAATTTTTTTTTGTGATAATTTGAAGTTAAAATATGATAAACATATAAAAAGGTTATTAAACAATGAGAAAGGGCTTTGTGCATGTAAAAGATCCTTCTGGTCTTGTTCGTCCACAGATTTATCAGTTTAAGAATAACTCTATTATGGTGCCTTTTTTTTTTTTTTCTTACTAGAATATAATTTATGGGCTCGGAATATGTTAAAAATTAAATTATGATAATCCACGTGGCAAATGGGAGATTCCACGTGATTCCCACGTGGTGCATACAATATAGCCGTTGGAGAATAACAACGCCTTGCTGCGACCATGACCCAGTTTGTTCATAACTAACCGTTCTAAGAAGGAGCATGGAAGTAAAAACTAGCCGTTACAAATTAAGTAAAGTATGAAAAATCTGATACTCACTACCTATCTCTCTACTGACTTTGTCTTCCGGGCAAAAACAAGATCCCACTGCTACATACATATGCTTCTTCACCCGTCCTCTCTTTTATCATTTATTTTCTTCATTCTTATAACTTCACTACGTAAAGCAAAACCAAGAAACAAGAAGATATAAGATATATCAAACCTTACATCTTCTTCTTCTTCATTCTTAATTTCTTTCAGCAATTTTGCTGCTTCTCTTTCATGTTCATGGAAAATACCTGTTGCTTCCTGAACCGATTCCACAGCAACAAGTATTTTTCGGCTTCTATAGTTTCAAACAAGTTCTTTATCTATGCCCATTTGTTATTGTTTCTACTTGCTTTTACTTCTAATTCTGTTTCAGGCCGTTCATGGGATGGGGTGATTGTTACTCAAGCAGATTTTCAATCTCTTCAAGCCATCAAACATGAGCTCATCGACTTCACAGGAGTTCTCCGGAGCTGGAATGGTAGTGGTTCAGGAGCTTGTTCTGGTGGGTGGACAGGAATCAAGTGTGTTAAGGGACAGGTTATTGCTATTCAGCTTCCTTTTAAGGGTCTCGGTGGCAGAATCTCAGAGAAGATTGGTCAGCTTCAATATTTAAGAAAACTTAGTCTTCATGATAATGTTATTGCTGGATCAGTCCCCTGGTCTCTTGGGTTCCTTCCACATCTCAGAGGGGTTTATCTCTTCAATAACCGGCTTTCGGGTTCTATCCCTCCTTCAATTGGTAACTGTCATAATCTTCAGACTCTTGATTTAAGTAATAATGCACTTACTGGGACAATTCCTCCTAGTCTTGCAAATTCCACCAGGTTGTTTAGACTTATTTTGAGCTATAATTCCCTTATGGGTTCTATCCCAGTACGTCTCACCAGGCTACCTTCTCTTACTATTCTTGCTCTTCAACACAACAATATATCTGGTTCTATTCCAGATACTTGGGGTGTTTTAGCAGGAAACAGCTCTTACCAACTTCAGTTCTTGAACCTTGATGATAATCTTATCTCTGGAACAATCCCAGTTTCTTTGGGGAAGTTGGGATTGCTTCAGGAGATTTCTCTGAGTCATAACAAGATTGTTGGCCCTATACCTGATGAACTAGGGAAGATCTCTAGGCTACAAAAAATAGATTTATCATACAATGCTATAAATGGCAGCTTTCCTGATACCTTTACCAATCTAACCTCTCTTGTGTCTCTAAATCTTGAAAACAATCGCCTTGGTAACCAGATGCCAGATGGAATGGAAAAGTTACAAAACCTTGCACAGCTCAACCTGAAAAATAATCAGTTTGAAGGTCATATTCCTGAAAGTCTTGGTAACATCTCTGGTATTTCCCAACTCGATTTATCCGAAAACAATTTCATTGGTGAAATCCCTGCTTCATTTGTCAGCCTAGCCAATCTTACTTCTTTCAATGTTTCTTACAACAATCTCTCTGGTTCTGTTCCATCTCTCTTCTCTAAGAAGTTCAATTCAAGCTCTTTTGTGGGGAACCTTCAGCTATGTGGCTACAGTACTTCAACTGTATGTCCTTCCCCTTCACCTCTCAGTATTGCACCTTCCCCAGAAGAAGGAACAAAACATCATCATCACCATAAACTCAGCAGCAAAGACATTATTCTCATAGGAGTTGGAGCTCTCCTGGCAATTCTACTTATCCTGTGCTGTATTCTGCTCTTTTGTCTGATGAAGAAGAAGTCCACTTCAAAAGAAAAGAGTGGTAAATCTACAGTGGGGAAAGCTGTTGAGAAGGAAGCTCCAGTGGGTGGTCCCCAAGTTGAATCAGGCGGTGAAATGGGTGGGAAATTAGTCCATTTTGATGGTCCATTTTTGTTCACAGCTGATGATTTGCTGTGTGCAACTGCGGAGATAATGGGAAAGAGCACTTACGGTACTGCATACAAGGCAACATTAGAAGATGGTAGTCAAGTTGCTGTGAAGAGATTAAGGGAGAAGACTACAAAGGGACAGAAAGAGTTTGAAGCTGAGGCTGCTGCACTCGGGAGGATTCGCCATCCAAATCTCTTAGCCCTCAGGGCCTATTACTTGGGACCTAAAGGAGAGAAACTCCTTGTTTTTGATTACATGCCCCAAGGAAGCCTTGCATCTTTCCTCCATGGTAAGTTTAACATTCAACCAACGCATAAATCATATAAGGCCTAGCTTGCTTCAATGTTTCTAATACAAACTGTTTCCTTGTATGCAGCTCGCGGGCCGGAAATTGTTATCAATTGGCCAACAAGGATGAATATAGCAGTAGGCGTTGCACGCGGATTAAACTACCTCCACACACAAGAGAACATGATTCACGGAAATCTCACATCCAGCAACATACTACTAGACGAACAGACTAATCCTCACATTGCAGACTTTGGCCTCAACCTTCTAATGACTGCTGCTGCCAATACTAATGTGATTGCCACTGCAGGAACACTCGGGTACCGGGCACCAGAGCTCTCAAAGCTGAAAAATGCCAGCACCAAGACGGATGTCTACAGCCTAGGAGTGATCATATTAGAGCTCTTAACAGGAAAGTCCCCTGGTGAGCCAATGAATGGAATGGATTTACCCCAGTGGGTGGCCTCAATTGTGAAGGAGGAATGGACAAATGAAGTGTTTGATTTGGAGCTTATGAGGGATACACAAACAATAGGTGATGATGAACTACTGAACACATTAAAATTAGCTCTACATTGTGTGGATCCATCACCAGCAGCACGTCCAGAAGTTCAGCAAGTTCTTCAACAATTAGAAGAGATTAAGCCAGAGCTAGCTGCAGCTGCTAGTTCTGGAGATGATGGAGCTAAAGTCCCAGGTCCCCAAAGTGAATAGAGTTATATTCATTATTACCATATTATATGTGGGTGCAAGAATAAAAAGGGTTTTGATTATTTTGGTTTAGGATTTATAGAGAAGCAGTAGTTGAATTCTTTTAATTCGTATATATAAGTTGGAGTGGGTTGAATTTATTCACCTAATCATGAATAGCCAAGTTGATTAAGGCCAATTGAAGATAGTGTGCATAGGGGGAGGATTAAAAGGGTTGAATTTATTCATTATACGTATTCTTTTTGTATAAGTCTATTTGTTGTATTCTTTTTAATTCATGTTTATGTACTAAACATAATAAAATTATGAAATTGCATTACTCTCTGGGCGCGTTTGGTTGGGGGTCATATGGGATTACTGGGGTAATGTCATCTTATATTACTTGATTATAATATTTGGTTGTCAAGTATATAAGATATCGGTAATCTTCAAATACAATTATTGGTAATATTGGAGATAATTAGATTACCTCTATTTTCCTAGGTATTCTGAGATTACCAGGATTATCTTTTTTTGTTACAATTTTATCTCATATTAATAAACATTTTGGACAATAATACCCCTACTTTAAAACAAATTTATATTAATATTCTATTTCAATTTTACCCTTGATTAATTAAAATTTTAGACAATAATGCCCTTATATTTAAAATAATTTACAGACCATCACTGCCACCCAGCCACCACCGCCGACAGCGGGCCAACCACCATGGGCTACAGTTGGAAAATCACCGGAGTCCCTAAAAAAGAACGAGACTCGGTGGGAGACTCGGGAGGCTTCGATATGGCCTTTATCAGGCCAGATCTGGACGAAATCTAGTCGGAATAGATCTGGCCGCTAACGGCCAGGTCCATGGCCGTTAACGGCCAGATCTCGTCTAGATCTAGTCGATGATGGCCAGGGATCTCGCCGAAAATAGCCAGAATAGATTTGACCTGATATGGTCGTTTTATGGTCGAAAACGGCCATATCGAAGCCTCTTGGTCACTGTCAGCTGCTAATGGGGACTTTCAGAGACTTTCGGCGGTGGCGGCAAGTGGTGGGGGTGATTTCGTAATAAATTAAAGTTTTATATAAGTGAGGGTGTTTTAACTAAATCTAAAATATTGGGGGTTAATTGAAATTATACAAAAATTAATAATAAAAATAATATTATATTAATATTTAAAAGGGGACAATTTGGTAATTTAAATAATATACTCACCAATTTATTCCCCATAACCAAACATATTAATATAACATACCTACCAACTAATCAAAAACATTTTTCTAAAGATTCCCAGTAATCTTCAAGGTAATCTATCTTTCTAATAATCCAATATTCCCAGTAATCTAACATTCCTGAACCAAACGCCCCTATTAACTTTATTTACTTTATTTCATAATTAATTAAGAAGTGCGTTTTGAAAAAGAAGATTGCTTGGAAACGGTGCCGTTTTATTGTATAGCGAATATAAAATATAAACTCAGCTCTCCAGCTCAATCTCGTCCTCTCACTCTCTCTCTCTCTCTCTCTTTTGTGATTCGCCATGGCATACCTTCAGTTACAAAAAATAGCGATATCAGGTCCGACACTAGCTTCCATGATCCAACGGTTGTCCTCTTCCCCTGGCGACGTGGACGGCTTCATCTTCGGCCATGTCACTCAAATCACCACTCTATCCGACGACACCTCCTCCTCCGATAACTCCGCCTCCCAACTCACTGCCACTATCACCAGCTTTCTCTGCTCCGGCTCACCTCTCTCCTTCTACGACGCACTCGGGCGGGTCAACTCACCCAAAGTTCCCTCTTTTAACCAACAGAACCACCTCCTCGGCTGGTTCTCCGGCCGCCGCCAATCCGCTATCCGTCCATCCATGCGTGAATTCGCTGTCACAAATTCTCTCTCGAAAATCCCCCAATTTAAGTTTTCAATTAAAAACTCTTCAGAAACCCTAAGTCCGTGCGTTTTCATTCTGTTCACGACTCCCTTAACAGACCAACTGATCCACACGCACCAGTACCGCGCGTACCAATTCAACACTTCAAACAAATCTTTTCACGCGAAGTCACTCGACGTGGTTAACATCGGTCCCGCATTTCGAGGACATTACGATAATTTCGCCCCGAACTGCGCATTGCCGTTGATGAATTGCTCGGCGATGGATGAGGAAAGCATGTATGCGAATAAGGAAAAGGTGAGTGATCAAAAACAATTGGATTTGTGTGCGGAAGGGTTTCAAATTGAGAGGTTGAGGCGGCTGATGGGACCCGAGGCGACGAATTATACAGAAGCTTTGGAGGATTTGTATGAGAAAATGTTGGCTAAAGCTGAGAGTTTGACTCGGCTCGTGGAGTCCAGCTCGGCTAAGGTTTTCGAGTTGGTGGGTTTATTTATTTTCTTGATGGAATTGTTTTCAAAATGTTTATGTTTTGATTTGTGGATTGAATTTTCTTAAATGATTTTGTTTGTTTGGCAGGAAAATAACAATAGAAAGTTGAGGTACAAGGTTTCTAGGTCTGCTGGATCGGAATAATCGCTTGTTTGGTACCGTCTTATTGCTGGTTCATTATCAGGTAATTTTGTTGTTTATTCTGTTTAATTTCATATTCTCTATTGAGTTTGACATGCTGGTATTGTTAGTGAAAATAAATTCTTCATGTTCAGTAATTCTTGGAATATGAAAGCAAGCATCTGTAGTGAGCTGGTAGAGTGATAGATATAGATAGCCTTTGGAAGGCGACACAAAAGATGTGATTTTTTTTTTTTTTTTTTTTGGTTGCATAAATGGAGACAGTCATCCTGACTAGAAAAAAAGAGATTGCAAAGTCATGTAGTCAAGAGTATTAAACATTTGCAGAAGATTTTGATTAGTGGGTAGGAAACTTAAGTTAACAAAGGCACGTGTACTAGATAGGATTAACCAAAAAGCGATGAGACAATTCGATATTGGCTTAGCATAAATAGTCCTAGAATTCAGACTTTAACATTTGAGGATATGTTTTCTTTGGTATATTGCTCAGTTATTGAATTGATGGACTACAAATGTGTTTGAGAACTCTTTCGTCGTCGTTTCTTTTAATGATAAGCTAGATTTTGATAGTGAACTGGTGTAGTGAATCCATTATGTTTTTCTGTCTCCCTGATTTATTGTTCTCTTGGTTACTTCTGGAATTTTGATAACAGAGAAGTGCCCATTCTTTAGCTGACTGTTAGGCTGTGGGAATTTTTCGGGTGGTTCTGTAAAGATGCTACTTGTAGTTGGGATCTTTTTGGTTGACTTTTGAGCTGAAGTTGGCATATACTCTGGAGCTGCTGATGATAATAGAAGTGACAACTGTGAATATTTGGTGGTTCTGGAAAGATGAGGATGGCTTGACATTGCTCCTATTTGGGTACTTATACACCTCCTACATTGATCATATCTTTTGTACTTTTTATATCTCTATTGTTCTGCATTTGCTCTTCTGAATTCTTGTAATTTAGGAACCCAATGTGGTTTGTGTTTAAAGAATGAAATTGGATTTGAATCAGATGATGTTTGGATTACTTTATTTTCTATTTCTGATTCAGTATCTTGACAATATTTCTGGCTACTAGAATTGAGAAATGTTACTAAATTTGGTTATTATCCAAATTAGGAATGGCAAGGAATGACCAAATTGCATTTGATAGAATCATAAAAGTACAGACGATAGATAGAAAAGAACATCAAGCAACAATGACGGCTGTGTAAAATAAACTTCTTAGATGTTTGAGATACAATTAGGGAAAAAAAACCTATCAATAACATACACCTGATTCATGTTGGCAGAGCCGGGAAGGGAAACTATTTTGCTTCTAAATTCCTTGCCTTACCACCAAATACTATATCCAACAGTCGTACTAGCATTCTATTTAGGAAGATTGGTGGTATGTTATATAAGATGTTGTAGCTTTTAGAAATTTACTCACCTCAATGAATCAGTTTGGCAGCAATAGTGTAGATTTTCAGATACAGTGATTTGATTCTGATATGACTAAAGCATTGGTGCAGCTTCGTGATTTAACCAATTGGAGTTAATACTTGAAGCACTTGCGTGTGATTTGGCCAGATGGAATTCAACTGTTTGAACATCTTTAGAAGACAGTAGAAATGTCAATAAATTAGCAAGATTCACTGCTCCATCTCGGACCACACCAATTTCCATGGTCCACTTTTTGTGCTCAACCTGCAATAAATTACAATAGATATGAGTTCCACAATCCATACTTCAATCCTAATATCGAATAGGTCATGCCCAAAAAATGCACCAAATTTTTAGGATACTGATCTGTTCAATTCACTATTCTGTCATTATAAAGTGGGTAAAATATGCTTTATTATAACATTCTTGACTGAAGTTCATTAATCATTTTTCTAGTTAAAAAAAACAGGTACACTATACTTTAGATATGATATGATAAAATTTGCACAAGACATTGGCGTGTTATCAGAAAAACACAATGCAATCCTAATTGAAATTATACAAAAATTAATAATAAAAATAATATTATATTAATATTTAAAAGGGGACAATTTGGTAATTTAAATAATATACTCACCAATTTATTCCCCATAACCAAACATATTAATATAACATACCTACCAACTAATCAAAAACATTTTTCTAAAGATTCCCAGTAATCTTCAAGGTAATCTATCTTTCTAATAATCCAATATTCCCAGTAATCTAACATTCCTGAACCAAACGCCCCTATTAACTTTATTTACTTTATTTCATAATTAATTAAGAAGTGCGTTTTGAAAAAGAAGATTGCTTGGAAACGGTGCCGTTTTATTGTATAGCGAATATAAAATATAAACTCAGCTCTCCAGCTCAATCTCGTCCTCTCACTCTCTCTCTCTCTCTCTCTTTTGTGATTCGCCATGGCATACCTTCAGTTACAAAAAATAGCGATATCAGGTCCGACACTAGCTTCCATGATCCAACGGTTGTCCTCTTCCCCTGGCGACGTGGACGGCTTCATCTTCGGCCATGTCACTCAAATCACCACTCTGTCCGACGACACCTCCTCCTCCGATAACTCCGCCTCCCAACTCACTGCCACTATCACCAGCTTTCTCTGCTCCGGCTCACCTCTCTCCTTCTACGACGCACTCGGGCGGGTCAACTCACCCAAAGTTCCCTCTTTTAACCAACAGAACCACCTCCTCGGCTGGTTCTCCGGCCGCCGCCAATCCGCTATCCGTCCATCCATGCGTGAATTCGCTGTCACAAATTCTCTCTCGAAAATCCCCCAATTTAAGTTTTCAATTAAAAACTCTTCAGAAACCCTAAGTCCGTGCGTTTTCATTCTGTTCACGACTCCCTTAACAGACCAACTGATCCACACGCACCAGTACCGCGCGTACCAATTCAACACTTCAAACAAATCTTTTCACGCGAAGTCACTCGACGTGGTTAACATCGGTCCCGCATTTCGAGGACATTACGATAATTTCGCCCCGAACTGCGCATTGCCGTTGATGAATTGCTCGGCGATGGATGAGGAAAGCATGTATGCGAATAAGGAAAAGGTGAGTGATCAAAAACAATTGGATTTGTGTGCGGAAGGGTTTCAAATTGAGAGGTTGAGGCGGCTGATGGGACCCGAGGCGACGAATTATACAGAAGCTTTGGAGGATTTGTATGAGAAAATGTTGGCTAAAGCTGAGAGTTTGACTCGGCTCGTGGAGTCCAGCTCGGCTAAGGTTTTCGAGTTGGTGGGTTTATTTATTTTCTTGATGGAATTTTTTTCAAAATGTTTATGTTTTGATTTGTGGATTGAATTTTCTTAAATGATTTTGTTTGTTTGGCAGGAAAATAACAATAGAAAGTTGAGGTACAAGGTTTCTAGGTCTGCTGGATCGGAATAATCGCTTGTTTGGTACCGTCTTATTGCTGGTTCATTATCAGGTAATTTTGTTGTTTATTCTGTTTAATTTCATATTCTCTATTGAGTTTGACATGCTGGTATTGTTAGTGAAAATAAATTCTTCATGTTCAGTAATTCTTGGAATATGAAAGCAAGCATCTGTAGTGAGCTGGTAGAGTGATAGATATAGATAGCCTTTGGAAGGCGACACAAAAGATGTGATTTTTTTTTTTTTTTTTTTTGGTTGCATAAATGGAGACAGTCATCCTGACTAGAAAAAAAGAGATTGCAAAGTCATGTAGTCAAGAGTATTAAACATTTTCAGAAGATTTTGATTAGTGGGTAGGAAACTTAAGTTAACAAAGGCACGTGTACTAGATAGGATTAACCAAAAAGCGATGAGACAATTCGATATTGGCTTAGCATAAATAGTCCTAGAATTCAGACTTTAACATTTGAGGATATGTTTTCTTTGGTATATTGCTCAGTTATTGAATTGATGGACTACAAATGTGTTTGAGAACTCTTTCGTCGTCGTTTCTTTTAATGATAAGCTAGATTTTGATAGTGAACTGGTGTAGTGAATCCATTATGTTTTTCTGTCTCCCTGATTTATTGTTCTCTTGGTTACTTCTGGAATTTTGATAACAGAGAAGTGCCCATTCTTTAGCTGACTGTTAGGCTGTGGGAATTTTTCGGGTGGTTCTGTAAAGATGCTACTTGTAGTTGGGATCTTTTTGGTTGACTTTTGAGCTGAAGTTGGCATATACTCTGGAGCTGCTGATGATAATAGAAGTGACAACTGTGAATATTTGGTGGTTCTGGAAAGATGAGGATGGCTTGACATTGCTCCTATTTGGGTACTTATACACCTCCTACATTGATCATATCTTTTGTACTTTTTATATCTCTATTGTTCTGCATTTGCTCTTCTGAATTCTTGTAATTTAGGAACCCAATGTGGTTTGTGTTTAAAGAATGAAATTGGATTTGAATCAGATGATGTTTGGATTACTTTATTTTCTATTTCTGATTCAGTATCTTGACAATATTTCTGGCTACTAGAATTGAGAAATGTTACTAAATTTGGTTATTATCCAAATTAGGAATGGCAAGGAATGACCAAATTGCATTTGATAGAATCATAAAAGTACAGACGATAGATAGAAAAGAACATCAAGCAACAATGACGGCTGTGTAAAATAAACTTCTTAGATGTTTGAGATACAATTAGGGAAAAAAAACCTATCAATAACATACACCTGATTCATGTTGGCAGAGCCGGGAAGGGAAACTATTTTGCTTCTAAATTCCTTGCCTTACCACCAAATACTATATCCAACAGTCGTACTAGCATTCTATTTAGGAAGATTGGTGGTATGTTATATAAGATGTTGTAGCTTTTAGAAATTTACTCACCTCAATGAATCAGTTTGGCAGCAATAGTGTAGATTTTCAGATACAGTGATTTGATTCTGATATGACTAAAGCATTGGTGCAGCTTCGTGATTTAACCAATTGGAGTTAATACTTGAAGCACTTGCGTGTGATTTGGCCAGATGGAATTCAACTGTTTGAACATCTTTAGAAGACAGTAGAAATGTCAATAAATTAGCAAGATTCACTGCTCCATCTCGGACCACACCAATTTCCATGGTCCACTTTTTGTGCTCAACCTGCAATAAATTACAATAGATATGAGTTCCACAATCCATACTTCAATCCTAATATCGAATAGGTCATGCCCAAAAAATGCACCAAATTTTTAGGATACTGATCTGTTCAATTCACTATTCTGTCATTATAAAGTGGGTAAAATATGCTTTATTATAACATTCTTGACTGAAGTTCATTAATCATTTTTCTAGTTAAAAAAAACAGGTACACTATACTTTAGATATGATATGATAAAATTTGCACAAGACATTGGCGTGTTATCAGAAAAACACAATGCAATCAAATTGGAAAACTTGAAGGCTCGGCTCAACAGAAAATCCTCAAGTGACATTATTTGCCATTATAACAGTTAAAGGCTATACGATATTTGAAGTGGTATCTTGATATTGTCTCCTACAAAACCAAAATTTAGTTTACCTCCAAATTCCAAATGCTACACGCAAGGTCATGAATAGAAATAACCCAGTCCAGACACCAGGAAGACCAAATACAGGAGCAGCCACAAGAACGAAACCTGATGAGATCAATGCGACCAGTACCTATCCATCCCAACTTAGCAGGTGAGAAAGGAAAATTAAGTATTATGTTAATAATGTCATTTTGGTAGAATAGTAAGCACCATAGAGTAAGCAGCATATTCATAGTCGGAAACCCCATAGTAGAGCCCATCCAGGACAAAGGCAAGAGCATTCACTGGCTGAGATCCAGCAACAAACTGCAAAAAACAGATGATCTGAGATACAAGTAAAGCAGTTTTATGTCTAAAATTACAAGCTGCAACCGGTACCCCATAGTGGTACTATAAACCATGACAAAACATCAACTTGATCACACTAATTCATTTTGTTCATAAAATTAGGTCCCTAGACCCATAAGATTTTTTACCATACTTGAAAATGGTATAAATTTCATCTAGGCGAGGAACAGAAATCAAATATAATCAGACAACAAAACTACCAATAACTTTCTATTAAAGGTAGTATGCACTGTGTGCTTCACGCTTCACTTAGTACACAGAGAACATGCAAAGCCAATTTTGAGCTTCAATATCAAAGCTTAAATCTAATTGAAAAACCATTCCAGTCAATAGAATTGGATCAGATTTAGCATTATGCTGTTTAAAGTAGCTCTAGACTCTGCAACCAACTAGCCATCCCAGGCTGTTGATGGCAGTCAAATTTGTTCGGATGGAAAGAACTTCAAAAAACAGTTGAAAAAGAAGTGGCTTACCAAAATACCGGACCAGGCAATATCCAGAACTTCTGAATCTGTGCTGAATAAACGAGAAAATGCTCCAAATCCAAGGAATAAAATAACAGCCAAACCTATTCCTGTTACCAAACCAATCTGCTCGCCAGTCAATGGGCAATAACGTGAAATTGAATCAGTTAAATGAAAAGAAACCAAACCACTATGAAAAATTACATGTAGCAGTTATTGGAACTACAGACCTGTATAAGTCTGTAAACCACTTGGCGTGCTCCTTGATAATTTCCTTGAGAGTAACCAGTGGCAAGTAGAGCCTGTGAAAGAGAGATCAAAACCATAATCAGAGAACTAAACCGGTTCAAATAAAAACATTGGATCAATTATCATATAGATTTGTACATGATGCCATTATCAAAATGACGTACAAAAAAGAGGCCAACATTCCACCATCATACTGTCCTCCATTAAGGTCCGTGCACCCTAGCCAGCATTCACTTCTACTACAAGATTAACTAATATTTGCTCTCCTACATTATGCCTATAACTTTTTTATCCATTGGAAAACTGGTGTGAGATATGAATATAGATGAAAAGAAAGAACTGAAACAGAAACTGCATTGGTTTTGTTTTATTAACATCTCTCCAGTGAACCCATTAGTATTCTTACTCATATACAAAAAAAAAAAAAATAACTAAAACAGTGTAAAATGATCATAGTCATGATAATGAGACCGGTCTTCTTCACATTTAGATGAGAATGTAGTAAATGTTGGCAGAAGCATACATTACAAAGCATTCTCAGACGTATTATGATCAACCACAGAAGTCATAGTACATCTCAAATGAATTTTCAATTATCAGGAACTCCAGTACAATACATAGATTATTTTGTTCCTGAGTAGGAGATCAGCTACTCCTCAAAATATTTTTGGTCAATCAATTTTTTGCAACTTGATACCATGTTATGTGAAACAACAATGGGATGTGAATAAGTTTTACCTGACCGGCCAGTGCTAGTGCATCAGTAAGCAAAGATACTGTCAACCAGAGTTGTACACAAATTTGATAACCAGCCATTGGTACGGGGCCCTCCCTAGCTGCCATGGATGTTGCCAGTGTCATGGTCAGAAGCACTGCTATTGTCCTGCCGATCAGAAGACCACCTGCAAAACCAAATAGCATATCCTTTAATCAAGTGGAAAACTTATATAAGTTGTAGCACTGTTTAATACATGAAGTATAAGGTGCATCTACTTCCTCTGGTGCCCACTAGCCATCAATCAATTCACTTGACCAAACTGTTCTAGTAAATCTTTTAAATTGTGTAATAAAAGCATAGCCCGGTTTGATCCGTCAAAAAAATTTCAATTAAAATGCCAATTACTATCAGTAAAACAGAACTTACAATTGGATTATCCTTATTTTTTTTTACCCTAGAATTAACACACAAAGAGGAGTATAGCACTTGAAGAGTAGATTTTAGGGTATGAGGAATGTACCAGATTTCAGGTAACGGACTAATCTTCCGCCATCAATATCCAGGGACATTAATGATACTTTGCCATTCAATTCCCACAGAAGGATAAAAGCAATCAAATATCTGGTGAGATGTTAGTGAGAAAACTGTTAGGAAAAAACAAATAACTTCAACTTCTGTAATTGAATGAANATCTAATTGAAAAACCATTCCAGTCAATAGAATTGGATCAGATTTAGCATTATGCTGTTTAAAGTAGCTCTAGACTCTGCAACCAACTAGCCATCCCAGGCTGTTGATGGCAGTCAAGTTTGTTCGGATGGAAAGAACTTCAAAAAACAGTTGAAAAAGAAGTGGCTTACCAAAATACCGGACCAGGCAATATCCAGAACTTCTGAATCTGTGCTGAATAAACGAGAAAATGCTCCAAATCCAAGGAATAAAATAACAGCCAAACCTATTCCTGTTACCAAACCAATCTGCTCGCCAGTCAATGGGCAATAACGTGAAATTGAATCAGTTAAATGAAAAGAAACCAAACCACTATGAAAAATTACATGTAGCAGTTATTGGAACTACAGACCTGTATAAGTCTGTAAACCACTTGGCGTGCTCCTTGATAATTTCCTTGAGAGTAACCAGTGGCAAGTAGAGCCTGTGAAAGAGAGATCAAAACCATAATCAGAGAACTAAACCGGTTCAAATAAAAACATTGGATCAATTATCATATAGATTTGTACATGATGCCATTATCAAAATGACGTACAAAAAAGAGGCCAACATTCCACCATCATACTGTCCTCCATTAAGGTCCGTGCACCCTAGCCAGCATTCACTTCTACTACAAGATTAACTAATATTTGCTCTCCTACATTATGCCTATAACTTTTTTATCCATTGGAAAACTGGTGTGAGATATGAATATAGATGAAAAGAAAGAACTGAAACAGAAACTGCATTGGTTTTGTTTTATTAACATCTCTCCAGTGAACCCATTAGTATTCTTACTCATATACAAAAAAAAAAAAAAAAATAACTAAAACAGTGTAAAATGATCATAGTCATGATAATGAGACCTGTCTTCTTCACATTTAGATGAGAATGTAGTAAATGTTGGCAGAAGCATACATTACAAAGCATTCTCAGACGTATTATGATCAACCACAGAAGTCATAGTACATCTCAAATGAATTTTCAATTATCAGGAACTCCAGTACAATACATAGATTATTTTGTTCCTGAGTAGGAGATCAGCTACTCCTCAAAATATTTTTGGTCAATCAATTTTTTGCAACTTGATACCATGTTATGTGAAACAACAATGGGATGTGAATAAGTTTTACCTGACCGGCCAGTGCTAGTGCATCAGTAAGCAAAGATACTGTCAACCAGAGTTGTACACAAATTTGATAACCAGCCATTGGTACGGGGCCCTCCCTAGCTGCCATGGATGTTGCCAGTGTCATGGTCAGAAGCACTGCTATTGTCCTGCCGATCAGAAGACCACCTGCAAAACCAAATAGCATATCCTTTAATCAAGTGGAAAACTTATATAAGTTGTAGCACTGTTTAATACATGAAGTATAAGGTGCATCTACTTCCTCTGGTGCCCACTAGCCATCAATCAATTCACTTGACCAAACTGTTCTAGTAAATCTTTTAAATTGTGTAATAAAAGCATAGCCCGGTTTGATCCGTCAAAAAAATTTCAATTAAAATGCCAATTACTATCAGTAAAACAGAACTTACAATTGGATTATCCTTATTTTTTTTTACCCTAGAATTAACACACAAAGAGGAGTATAGCACTTGAAGAGTAGATTTTAGGGTATGAGGAATGTACCAGATTTCAGGTAACGGACTAATCTTCCGCCATCAATATCCAGGGACATTAATGATACTTTGCCATTCAATTCCCACAGAAGGATAAAAGCAATCAAATATCTGGTGATATGTTAGTGAGAAAACTGTTAGGAAAAAACAAATAACTTCAACTTCTGTAATTGAATGAACATTGATTGCACAGAACATAAACAATGTTAAGTTTACCACATAATTGACGTACTCAGAAATCACAGTGGCAATAGCAGCTCCACCAATGCCAAAATGAAAGAAAAATATCAAAATCGGATCCAAGATTGCATTCAGTAAATTGCCAGCCCCTGGTAATCCAGCATAAATATTTGTTATATACACAAATAAAAAATCAAGAAAGCAGATAACCCATATGCCAAACCCTTTTTAGCATAAAATTACATACTCAAATACTATTCTTGATAGTTATTAGAAAAAGCTAAACCCTAAACCTTGACTCTAAAGCCATGGACCTAACAGAAAATAAGAGGATCACTTCAATAAGTATAATTTGACAAAAGTGCTACTCTCTAATTCCATAGTCTTAACTTCATTTTTTCAGTTCATGATCAGTTGGAATTATGTTTGTAATACATTTGAGAAAATGGCTATTTTGATGTTCAAATGAGAGTATAAACTATTATTCACGAAAAACAGGTCAATGCCTAGTACAGATGGATTACTGACAAAAAATAACAGTTATATGAATATTGTATAAAATATTCCATTGTGCATGGACATAGGATTAACCTGGACATGTGATTTAAATGTACATGCAATTGAAGGCAACCACCACTTTCATTCAGAGAAATTCCAATGTATGTACACTTATAGACATGAATATAGATAGCTAGCTGGATTGAGAGAGAGAGAGAGAGAGAGAGAAGAGGTATGCAGCAATACTTGCCAGTGGCATATAAAGGTGTCTTTGTATCCATAAATCCACGAAAAGCACCTTGTGCAGCAAGTGCAATTACAATGGGTGGAGCACCAAAGGCCCTTGAGGCAAGAAAATTCTCGGCTGGTACTCGCATCGGTGAATCCTATAAAATAACAAATCTTAAAAGAGAACTCCGGAAAACATTCTCAACGAATATATGACAAATATAGAATCAAAATATAACCATGACATATCCACAGTCACTGCATTACCATTTAAGGCACAAATGAAGGAGCCTTAAGCACGAAGTAGTGCTCAAAACTAGATATTTTGAAATTCACTTGTAAATTTTAATGTCTCAGTAATCAAAAGTGGTATCAACTTAGATTACCCTTGCACAGAAAATTCGGATGTAACCACTAAGAGTCATAAACTTTAAGCAACATTCTAACTGATGGCGTTTGTAGTATTTCTATCCCCACCCCAAATTCATGCGCGTATCGGTGATCAAGAAGCTAATGTTCATTCACAGTCTTGAGGAATAATTGGCAAGATATATGAAATTTCTCATCTCTAAGAATACCAAAGACTAGAATTGGACAAGGAATTTACAATACGATTTCGACAAGGAATTTACAATACCAGAAACACAGAAAAGAATTGGAAAAGTAGAACGTACGACAGGAATACCCATGATATTCATTAAGAAACCTGAGCCAAAAGAGAGTACAACAGCTTCTGCAATGCCAAGGCCTGCAGCAAGTGCTAAAGAAGTCGATACTGAAGGAAGCTGTTTCTTGCCTTGTTGCTCGACNACAGAAAATTCGGATGTAACCACTAAGAGTCATAAACTTTAAGCAACATTCTAACTGATGGCGTTTGTAGTATTTCTATCCCCACCCCAAATTCATGCGCGTATCGGTGATCAAGAAGCTAATGTTCATTCACAGTCTTGAGGAATAATTGGCAAGATATATGAAATTTCTCATCTCTAAGAATACCAAAGACTAGAATTGGACAAGGAATTTACAATACGGGTTCGACAAGGAATTTACAATACCAGAAACACAGAAAAGAATTGGAAAAGTAGAACGTACGACAGGAATACCCATGATATTCATTAAGAAACCTGAGCCAAAAGAGAGTACAACAGCTTCTGCAATGCCAAGGCCTGCAGCAAGTGCTAAAGAAGTCGATACTGAAGGAAGCTGTTTCTTGCCTTGTTGCTCGACACCATAATCTTAATAACAGCCACATGATCAAGAATAGCAGTTAAATAAATAACGTAAGAAATATAAAAGAAAATATATTAATGCAGAAAATTGAAAGAATGCTATCACATAATAGCTTTATTACCATCACCAAGTTGGCTAGTACCACCGTTGCCCTGATTATTTAATGCCTGCTCTTCAGCAACAAAGGATGTCGTTATGTTTAGCAATGGAACATTGAACAGTTTTGACACTAGATTAAACACAGAAACTGAAACCCCAACTGCCGCCAATTCAACCGATCCTACACAATAAATAAGCAAATCCATTTATAATAACGAACCAACATACATAAAAATATTAAACAGAAACAAAAATCAAATCATACTCAGGCATCGCCAAAACATGTCTCTAATAAACTTCGAACAAACTATTGAGAAACAATATCCACAACCACAAGTTCAATATACTTGGCAATCAAAGTGGAAAACATCAAGAAGTTCAAAATCCTAGGTGTACACTGATATTCCCAATTAATTAGCTTAATCATTTAATACCACACAACGCTGCAAATTGCCACGTTCAAAGTCGAACTTCCTAACAAACTTTTACAAAGCTAACAACCTGTCTCCTGTATGATTCAAAGACAAATATTTAAAACTTAAAATACAATTCGAAAATCTAAGTTGCTTTTCAATATTTAAACATCTGAAATATATAATTCAGTTCAGTATTCAAAAACTATAAGCTATAAAAATTAAAAAATTAAAAGCTGAAAACACTATATCCAAAACGTTTTTAATTTAACACATTTCAACTAAAGGCAATTATATAAAATTCTGGGCGTTTCTTGTTTTTGGAAACGCAAACATTAACAAAGGAAAATAAAAAGCTACCTAAATGACCAACAAAGGCTGTATCGACAAGTGAAGCAATCGGATCAGCAGCCAAAGCCAACGCAGCAGGCAATGCAATAGACCATATCTCCATTCCCAATTCATCAAGCTTAAATCCATCTCTACAATATTAAGGAAAAAAATAAAAAAACAAATTAAGAACCAAAACAAAGCTACAACAAGCTAGTCATCTAGTTGGCGTAGTACCTCCAACTGCTGAGGAAAACAGAAAACGAATCGGCTGAAGCCAATCGGTTCGGTTCGGGTTTATCTATCTCTTTAGGAGTTAGTTTTTGCGGTGAAGTTTCAACAGAAGTGGCGGTAGTGGTGGTGTCTTTCTCGTGAAGTGATGATTTGAGGACGGTTTTGTATCGAACTGAGCAGGTGAAGTTTCTGGAACGAGATGAATTGGTTCGTTTAGAGGAAGAGTAGAGACAGAGAAGATGACGCGAGAGAGTAGTGGTGGCCATTTTTGAATTGTTAGTTGAGAGTGAGAGAGCAAAGAGATTCTGATTTGAATCTCCGGGAGGTAACTGTAACCACGAGCTTCGTGTTGTATTTGTTATTATCTGCCAAGGAAATTTAGCGGCTAAATCTGTGGCTGCCCAAAATATCGAGTTTGGAATTTTGTACTGCTACTAACTTCGTAGTTGGTACGCTTGTGTACTGCTATCGTTCATTGTACTAAATATATGATTCATTTTATATTTTCTCTTTTTCTTTTTCCTCACTTTTTTATATATGACTATTAAACATTCCGAAGTAGGGAGTCAACCACATATATATACGATCCCTCTCACATACGCTCTACGTGTTTCACAAATACCACACACTCGACGTATAAGGCTAGAGTCCAAACCCAAATAAACGTGCCTCAAACATGATAAGTGACACCATTTTTCTCACATATGCTCGACGTGTCTCACAAATACGACACACTCGATGTATAGGGTGAGGGTCCAAATTCAAAACAAACGTGTCTCTGATACCATGATAAGCAACACCATCCCTCTCACATACGCCTGACATGTCCCACAAATACAACACACTTGACGTACAAGGCTAGTATCCAAATCCAAATAGACGTGTCTCTGATACCATGATAAGCGACATTATCCCTCTCACATATGCTCAACGTCAGGGGCGGATCCAGCCCACTTGGGCCTCAATTTGTTTTTTTAAATATTAACATATATAATTTTTGGATTTTGGATTTTGGCTCACCCTAAAAAAAATTTCTAGATCCGCCACTGCTTGTCCCACCAATACGATGTGTTCAACATACAGGATTAGAGTCCAAACCCAAATAAACATGCCTTTGATATCATGATAAATTATTTTGAGTAGAACTCACTCTCATAAGCTAACTTAACGGAGAAAAGAGTCCAATTACTATAACCGAGTTAACAACTAACTAGGCAATGTGAGAGAAATACGACTTTTAACGTACAAAATTGAGATTTTAACTTTATATAAAGAATATTATTGTTCATTTTTATATTATGTAATTGGGTGAATTTCATTGTTTCCTTCAATTAAATGAGGCTTGTGTTAAGTGTACTGCAGAATGTATACAGTACAAACTGAGCCCATGCAGAAGCCCATTTTGTTTTAAAGGGCCTGCACATGCTTATTGTTCGAGCATCTTTCACTTGACATCTCTATACGTTTCACTTCCCAAGTTTTATAAACAACCAATTCGCAAATTGAATACCTCTTTCCACTTACATTAATCCAGTCAAATAGACAGTTNTTAATTTAACACATTTCAACTAAAGGCAATTATATAAAATTCTGGGCGTTTCTTGTTTTTGGAAACGCAAACATTAACAAAGGAAAATAAAAAGCTACCTAAATGACCAACAAAGGCTGTATCGACAAGTGAAGCAATCGGATCAGCAGCCAAAGCCAACGCAGCAGGCAATGCAATAGACCATATCTCCATTCCCAATTCATCAAGCTTAAATCCATCTCTACAATATTAAGGAAAAAAATAAAAAAACAAATTAAGAACCAAAACAAAGCTACAACGAGCTAGTCAGCTAGTTCGCGTAGTACCTCCAACTGCTGAGGAAAACAGAAAACGAATCGGCTGAAGCCAATCGGTTCGGTTCGGGTTTATCTATCTCTTTAGGAGTTAGTTTTTGCGGTGAAGTTTCAACAGAAGTGGCGGTAGTGGTGGTGTCTTTCTCGTGAAGTGATGATTTGAGGACGGTTTTGTATCGAACTGAGCAGGTGAAGTTTCTGGAACGAGATGAATTGGTTCGTTTAGAGGAAGAGTAGAGACAGAGAAGATGACGCGAGAGAGTAGTGGTGGCCATTTTTGAATTGTTAGTTGAGAGTGAGAGAGCAAAGAGATTCTGATTTGAATCTCCGGGAGGTAACTGTAACCACGAGCTTCGTGTTGTATTTGTTATTATCTGCCAAGGAAATTTAGCGGCTAAATCTGTGGCTGCCCAAAATATCGAGTTTGGAATTTTGTACTGCTACTAACTTCGTAGTTGGTACGCTTGTGTACTGCTATCGTTCATTGTACTAAATATATGATTCATTTTATATTTTCTCTTTTTCTTTTTCCTCACTTTTTTATATATGACTATTAAACATTCCGAAGTAGGGAGTCAACCACATATATATACGATCCCTCTCACATACGCTCTACGTGTTTCACAAATACCACACACTCGACGTATAAGGCTAGAGTCCAAACCCAAATAAACGTGCCTCAAACATGATAAGTGACACCATTTTTCTCACATATGCTCGACGTGTCTCACAAATACGACACACTCGATGTATAGGGTGAGGGTCCAAATTCAAAACAAACGTGTCTCTGATACCATGATAAGCAACACCATCCCTCTCACATACGCCTGACATGTCCCACAAATACAACACACTTGACGTACAAGGCTAGTATCCAAATCCAAATAGACGTGTCTCTGATACCATGATAAGCGACATTATCCCTCTCACATATGCTCAACGTCAGGGGCGGATCCAGCCCACTTGGGCCTCAATTTGTTTTTTTAAATATTAACATATATAATTTTTGGATTTTGGATTTTGGCTCACCCTAAAAAAAATTTCTAGATCCGCCACTGCTTGTCCCACCAATACGATGTGTTCAACATACAGGATTAGAGTCCAAACCCAAATAAACATGCCTTTGATATCATGATAAATTATTTTGAGTAGAACTCACTCTCATAAGCTAACTCAACGGAGAAAAGAGTCCAATTACTATAACCGAGTTAACAACTAACTAGGCAATGTGAGAGAAATACGACTTTTAACGTACAAAATTGAGATTTTAACTTTATATAAAGAATATTATTGTTCATTTTTATATTATGTAATTGGGTGAATTTCATTGTTTCCTTCAATTAAATGAGGCTTGTGTTAAGTGTACTGCAGAATGTATACAGTACAAACTGAGCCCATGCAGAAGCCCATTTTGTTTTAAAGGGCCTGCACATGCTTATTGTTCGAGCATCTTTCACTTGACATCTCTATACGTTTCACTTCCCAAGTTTTATAAACAACCAATTCGCAAATTGAATACCTCTTTCCACTTACATTAATCCAGTCAAATAGACAGTTCATAGTTAGTCAGTTCACAATAGATCTTGTATAAGTTTTACTAATTAATTGTGAACTATCATATCAGGATTGTAAAAAAAAGTTCGTGAGAAATGATTATTGGTGTAGTATTACCCGCAATTAAATGATCATTTAGTCTACTTTAGACTTGAGCATTCCTGATTTGTGACTGGACTAAGTGATTATTATTGAAATTAGTAGAACTTTAACAGGAAGGTCGTGCAATCATGTCTTCAACTCAGTGAGTTGTTGTTTCTTTGGTCTTCAAACAATTGAACCAAATGCCTATCTTCTTCTCATCAGTATTTTCACATTTAACATTATTCAAGACAGAAACCAACCCTCAAATTCATCATTTTGGTCCCGAGTGTTACATTTTATACTAATAAAAATAATACGTGGGATTTGGAGTCTTTGTGCTTGAATTGCGCCTCCTGCAACTGAAAATGTTTCCTCCCAATCCCAGTCTCAGTTGCTTCGGTTGCAATTTACATACTACAAAATGAATAAAATTTAACACATGTTTCACACTATCACAGCTCATTGCATGTCAATTCAAAGCCTCCTTTGATTAATAACCTGGAGGAAGTTATTGGCCATTATAGGTTAAAGAATAAACACTAAATCTTTAATTAATGAATCCTCTTTATGGGTAATTCCATCAACTTAGGTGAAGTCGTCTCATAACCATATGTTTGTCATCTCCTGTATTTCAAAGGGCAGATTGAAAGGTATGAAGAAAACAAAAAAAGGGGTTGGTCAATAGTACTGATAATTTACTGGAAGGAAAACAGGAAGCGTGGAAATACAGTCACCTGAAAAAAAAATATCAGACGGAAGTTCAAAACGAGTGACTGATAAAGAGCAAATGAAGCCTAACCTTCAAAAATAGGAAAGTCTGGTCAAAATCTTCTAAGTCCACACACCTTCGCCATTCAAAACGGATAAGTCCTACTACAATAACACGTTTTCTAATTACAGCATAAGTTTTTTAAGAGGTTAACCCTTCGTGAAAGTGTTTGATGTGACAAGTCCTTCAATATATCCCTTCTTTAATTCCTTTGAAGTTAACAAATCAGAAGGCAAACAAAACCCTAGCTCCATTAATGACTAAAGATCTTCTTCAAGTTTGTTTCGTTTGTATGTATATTTGACCGTAGAACAAAGTTCTACCCATATAAGAGTTCGAGAGATTTGAAATTTTCAAGGCAAAATTGACACAAGTAACAATATTTATACGTACCCAAATGAGAACAAACCCTTCATTTGCAGAGTCACGAGAGAGAGAGAGAGAGACAGTAAGAAGAAGCTATGAAACTCAGGATGGATAGCGCTACAGAAGAGCCATTTCCATGGCAATAAAGTGGCGCTATCCCTCCTGAGCTTAACAGATTCTTCCATACAACATATATACATCATCGTTAACAAAAGAAGCAGCAGAAGCCAAAAAGTGCTTCCGGGAAGCCATAAAAAAGCTAGCTGAAAGCAAACCAAGCTCAAAACTAATGGTTGGTTGGTTCTTATAATGGTGGGGAAGATATAGAGAAGGCACGGCTGTACTTATAGCAGCTCATCAGGAGAGAACGTGGGGATTGCAGACAAACGTCACCTCTCCTGGAGCCATGAGAACCTTGACTAAATATTTGACAATTTTTTGGGTACACTGTAGTGAAGGGACGGATTTATTATATTATTATCATTTATATTTAATGTTGAATGATATTTTTACCCCTAGTATACTGCAAAAAGACAATTTTCCCCCTCCCATCATTTTTTCGAATTCAACTGTTGTGAAAGGGTAACTTGTCAATTCATAATGTTAGATTAGGTTTTCTACCTTCATAATATTATATAGAGGTGAATTGACAAAATTACCCTCTCACATTTTAAGTTTTAACGCTTGAATTAAAAGAATATGGGTAATATTGAGTGTTTCCGAAACTAATGGGGGGAAGGGGATTTCTCGATAGATTAAGATTAGGGATCAATAATTCAATATGGGTAATATTGAGTGTTTCTGAAACTAAAGGGAGGAAGGGAGTTTCCTGATAGATTACTAAGATTAGGGGTCACAATGTTATTTGGCCTAATTTATTTTTTATATTTTTAGTAACCAAATGTTTAGACTAATTTATATATACTTTAATTAATATTTTATAAGTTTAAAAATCTAAATAAATCATAATATTATTACAATAAATAATATAAAAGGTTTAAAGCCAATCAAGATAACAAATATCATTGATCATCGGCCAACCTAGGGCCAAGCTTAATTTATTTTGATTTCCTCTTTGGTTATAATGTATTGATTTTTTAATGCCTCTGCCGACTACGGTACGATTCATAATACAATGGGAAAGTAATGGCTGATAAATGACCCACTTGTTCATTAGTTTTGAATGTTGATAGCTTCGATTTCTGGGTGAATTTACGCCATTGGTACGTGTAGTTTTGCCTTTTTTATTGAAAAGAAACCATTTTTCTCTCTTTCTTTCAGTCATCATTACCTCTCCTTTTAAGTTAATCTTCTCATTAATGATTATGATTGTACATATTATCGTCTTAATCACTTAAAAATTCAATGGCTGTGCGGATCTCCATATTTACCGAAATTTTTTTTTTTTTTTTAAATGGGGTATTCAAGTTAGTTTGTGTATACTTTAACTAATAGGTATATTAAATATCTTAAAGTCTAATATATTAGATAAGTCATAAATGTAATAGGTAGTCCAGATAATTAAAGTCTTATCATCTGATCATAAGACTACCCCTAACACAAGTTTAAAAATATATCAAAAACTTAGCTTACACATATCTCGACTAATCATCAATCGTCCGATCAGAAGATTATCCCAAACACAAGTTTAAAAATATACAAAAAACTCAGTTTACGCATACCTTAATTAATCATCAAAAGAAACTAGTGTAGTAATCTATCACCACGACCCCCGCCCTTACTTAAATCGGGTATACTCAGATAAAGAATCAAATCTGAGATCGTATATCTATTCACACTATCTCAATTGACCTTGACCATTTGGTCACCCACGTATGCGTATCTTCGAAAAAGTTGTTATACATAATATGTCAAATCGTAAATTTTCCACATCAATTACACATATTCAATATTCACGTGCCACAGTATGTTAATGGTGATTTGATTTGATAAGGAAGATATAATGAGAATATTATATAGAGCATGATGTTATTTTGAATAAAAATCTTTAAGATAAGACTTGTTATTTTACACCTATTTATATTCCCTCAAAAAGAAAAAAAAGGTGTACAAATTGAAGAGAAAAAATCATATAAAGAATATTCACAAATTCAGGTAAGAATTCACTCCCAAATGTCCTGATGATTTAAATGTCCATTAAATCAGCAATCATAATGTGTGTGGTCCATATGGGGTGCAATTAAAATTATTATACATTTAAAACTAAATGGTAAATGGAAGTAGTATTTCTTTTCTAACTTTGGTGTCGGTCCAGTTCGGTAAGTTTATTACTTTATAGTTTATAATAAAATAATATTGACCAAATTAACGGGCTTAAATTTAATTACGTAATTAGCTTCCTGTACTTCCCAATGTCAATTATATTGGCTACACCTGTTTTCAGTTGACAATGACACATTCCTAATGCAAGGATTTAATTGTTTTTAGAAAATTAGGTCTATGAAAGTTTTTAGAATAATATTTTAAAAAAAAAGTTAAATCAGATAAATATTATAATATAAAATTTAAAAATTAATAAAAATATCTCTTATATTTATTTATTTATTAAACACTGTTATAATAAAATATTAAAAGTTAATAAAAATACCTTTAATTCACCAATTAAATATAGATAGTCAGCCATCACTGTCGAAAGGTGGTCGGAGTGTTTTGCTATTT